TAGTTTATGGACTTGAGTTGATATGGCTAGTGAAAAGTTGGCATTGATGAATAATACTTAATCACCTTCTCAAAAGGTCTTACATTGTTGATGGTTATCTACATACTACTTTTGTCAATTTTGTGCAATAAAAGTGTATTATCATATTTTTAATAAGGCAGTTGTAAGCCATTGTATAAATTCTTTTATTGTTGGATTGTTGATATCGATCGAACAATGGAGAGTTGTTGGCATAATCAAATGCTAACCGTTGTTAAGAAAAAATGGTGAATGATTGATACTTGCTTGAATACTATCATTGTAAGCAAACTCCAAGGGCATCAAATATTCATTCTAATTATTATAGTAAACTAGCACAAATACCTATAGCATATTTTCTAAGGTTTGATTTACATGTTCCATTTGTCCATCCGTTTGAGGATCAAAGGCTATGGACATGGCAAGTTGCGTAATCAGTAGTTTAAATAAGGCTTGCTAAAAATTCTTTGTAAAGTGTAAATTCCAATCTGAAATGATGGGATGAAATAATTCATAAAGATGAAAGATAGTGTTAAAGAAGACTTGTGCAAGTGTTGGGGCATCAATATTAAATCACACTATAGTCAAGTGAAGTTGCTTTGAAAGTCGATTCACAAAGATAACAACCGTGGTATAATTATGAGGTGTTTGTGGCAAATACATACTAAGGTTCATGGTCTTTTGCTTCCAACATATTGTAAGTAGTAGAATTGGCTACAATAGCCAGAGAAATGTCGCATTGTGTGCTTTGCTTTGTTGACATGACTTGTAAGAACATACAATATTCAAATATTACGGTCTAAACCTACTTTAAATCATATCCTTGAGATTTATTCTAGAGTCTTTTCATGTCTTAGGTACCCAAATATTAGAATGTCATGTCTATCTTGAAATATGTGCATCCGGAGTATAAATTGTTAGGTATATAAAATCTATTTTTTTAAATAGAATAAGCCATCATTGAAAATATAGTCTTAATATAATATATTATCCACCTTCATATGATTGCTAACTATCTTGAAATAAGTATTTCAATGCATAGCTTCTTTCTATTTTGTCTCTTTGGTTAGGTTTAAAATGATACTATTAATTGTAGCAACTTCTTCTTTTTCTTCCAATTAGGCATTCAAGTTTGATCTCCATAATAAGTTATCTGATACAATATGTTATCGCCCTTGTTTTTATTTAAGTTGAATGTCAAAAAATTGCAATTATTCTTTTTAATGATGATGTCATGATTTTAGATATTTTAGATGCAAATTATATAGCAAGGATCAATAGTCAATCCAAACAATCACTAGCTTCTCCAACAGATAGTATTGCCACACTTTTGTGGCATATATAATTGCTAATTGCTCATGATCATGTGTAGAGTAATTGTGTTCTATCCTTCTAAGCTTGCTTAATTCATATGTCATGGATTGAAGGCTCCTATCAAAGTCTTATTGAAGGACTGCTTCAAATAGCAAAGTTGGAAGCATCAATGTCAAGTGTACAAGGAAGGTTGGAATCATATGGTTGCAATATTAGAGTAGTAATGAGTGCCTCCTTCAACCTATCAAAGGTACTTTGCTGCTCTAGTTTTCATTCAAATGGGGCACCTTTCTCTAATAGGCTTATTAATGGAGCAACAATGTATATAAATTGTCAAACAAAACGACAATAATATGCAGCAATTCCTAAGAATGAGTAGACTTAAAAAGCATCTTTGGAGATTGGCCAACCTTCCACTACTTTCAGCTTATCATGTTCTATGTGCATGTCTTTGGAAGAGACTATATCTCCTAAAATCGTGACCATTGACTTCCAAGGTTCACATGTTGATTGCTTATAATAGAAGCAATTATCTTGTAGTTGATGCATCACTTTTTGTAGGAGTTGTTCATACTCTTTAAGGATTTTACTATAGATTAGGATATCATCAATGAAGATAATAACAAACTTGTCCAAAAGGTCTCAAAATAATTTTTTTATATGATTTTTGAAGGAAGTTGGAACATTGGTGAAGCTAAAAGATAAAATAAGCCATTCAAAATGCCTACAGCTTGTACGAAATGTTGTCTTTTTTATATCCTCCTTTGTAATAGGTGTTTGTTAATAGCCATTGTGAAGGTCTAATTTGGTAAAGATGGTTCCACCTCAAAGTTGGTCAAGAAGATCATCCATATATGAAACTGTATATATATTCTTGATAGTCTACTTATTGAGCCTTGATAATTGATGCAAAGCCAAAGTCCACCATCATTTTTAAGTGCAAAGAGTACAAATGCTCTTTTTGGTGACATGCTTTCTTGAATAAGGTCCTTCTCTAAGAGTACTTTTAATGTCTTTTACAACTCTTGAAGTTCATTTGGTGTTAGATAATAAATTGGTCAACTTGCTAGTTTGACTCCAAGCAATAATTCTATATGAAAGAAGATGCTTTGATCAAGTGGCACGCCATTAGATAAGTCAGTTGGAAAAACATCTTAATATTTACGTATGAGTTGCTTTGCTCGTTTTGCTCTTTTAGTTGTCTTTTCCACCATTTTGAACCACCATATATATTAGTTGCTTATGTTGAATTTTCTTTATTATAAAGGTCATCTTTACAAGTAAGCTTTTAGCTGCAGATTGTTTTGTTACGTCACTCAATATAGAGGTATGAAGAATCACCTTACATCCATTGTCTTTTAAAAAAATTATCCTTGCTAGCCTATTTACTTGCTTATTTTCCACCTCTAGCTATGGCATACCAAAGATAATGTCATATCTAAGTTTTTTTGCCTAAAACTTCTCTTAAAGCATAGGTGTCATTAAACCTCAAGATTTCTTCTTCACATGTCTCACTTAATATGTTTTCTTGGTCATTAGCTTGATATATACTTCTTCCTTTAATCACCTTGGTTTTAATTCTAAGTCAATTGGCAATCATAGTCAAGATGCAATTTTTTATAGAGTTGCAATCTACAAGCACTTGACATAGTTGTCTTCTTAGTCTACCCGCTAGGTACACTAGTCAATTCATTTGATAATTAGCTAAGGTTATGCTATTTGTCTCTATAAAACAACAGTTATCCTCAATATTCACCCTCAATGCTTTTACTAGAGAGCCTTGTTTTCTTGCTTCATTTCTTTATCATCAAGGTGAGCCTCAAGATTGTGAATCCACCTTGATTTGTTGGTATATAAATTTTGACGCTTTGGACAATCTTTGATCTGATGACATGGCTCTCAACAATAATAATAAAATTTCTCCTATGCCAATATTTGTTGACTCTATGGTATCAATGGTCCTTGCAAGGCATCGATTTCTATAGGTATTGATTATTATGCTATAATATTGGATAGTAGCATAGGATTTTCTTCTATTAAGTTGTGCTCTACAAATTCTGAATTCTATAGCATTAATCCACTCTGCAATCCTAATTGCTTCTTCAAATGTTTACAGATTTCTTAATTCTATTACTTGCTGAATCATAAGTTTCAATCCTTATATAAATCAATCCATCATCTCCGCCTTAGAAACATTGTCAATTTAAAGATATAAAGATCTGAATCGGAAGACATAATCTTGCACTGATCTAGATTATATAAGATTAATCAATTGATCATGTACTAACTTCTACACATTGATGGGCAAAAAATTGATTCTTAAGATTGATTTCAAACTCATCCCAATTACAAAATCCACCTTGAGCTCCATAGATTTGAGCTCAATCTTACCACCAAATGACTACTATACCTTTCAAAAAGCTAGCTGCATATAAAACTCCTTGCCTCAAATAGTTGCATGTATTATCGCATGCTGAAAAGCCATTGACATACATCTTGCCTTAAAATTCCAAAATATGCAATAATAGTCTTAATTTGCAAAAGACCCCAAAGTCAACTACACTACCTTAAAGAGAAATGAATTTTAGAAAATCGAATAAATGCAGTAGCTAAAAGCACCTGCACAAAATAGTGCTCTACTTCCCTCCTAAGATACATGTACTTCACTCTACATCATTGCATTGCAGTCTGCATCATTGCCTTGAAATTTTGAAATAATCATTAATCAACAAAGCAATTTATGCCCTCACATTCAGATAAATCAAAACTAGAATTACGAAAAAAATTGATTGAATAACATTTAACTGAGTTACCGGTGCTGTTTTACCCTACATCTTGTCTGGTCACGGTTAAACCAACACTTTTTTGATGCATACAGATTGTACACAATTAACTTAAAGATCGCAGTGTACCACAGAAGGCCAATATACGTAAAACTTCACAGTTTGGGCACTTTCGTTTTAGAACGAACTTTCGGAATCGTTCTCTGCCGAATTGACACACTCGAGAGAGAGTAGAGATTGAAGTCGTGTTCTGCAGTTGTGATATTTGATATCTTGAGATACCAGCAGTACCCTAGTTACAAAAACGGTATCATAATAGAGTCTCGCCTTTTTTATCGTAAGGGTAGTTCGAGCAGATGTGCTCACAAGCCTCATTTTCTTAATCGCCAGCGTTTTGATACATTTTTTAAGACGATGCCGTCTCGTAGGAAAAGGCCAGATTTTCTTAACAAGTTATATTGTTCATGAACGTTGTCCAAGCTGAGTAGCAAGACACGGCTTTTGTGACTTGGTTATGCGACGTGCGGGCGATGACTTTGTAGGAGTCGTTCGCAAGCTCTAGGTGCTTATGGTACCCATGTCAGTACCGACAGAGCGACGGAAAAATCAACTTCGCTGGCGGCGGCCAATCTAGTGTGTCCGCCACGTATGCAGATACGTGGACACACAGGGCCAGCGTCGGACAACACTCGTGACAGGACCACATCAAATTCAAGTCTCAGATATCCAAGGAAGGTTTGGAAGCTGCATTAGCTCTCAAGCCGAGCAAGGCGAAAGCTTTAGGCGGCCACTGCGAATGTTTGAGAAACAAGCCTAGGATCTGTCATCACCGACTCAAGATGCACCCCCTCCCCACCCCACAACACGCAGACATTCTCTCACGGCGTTTGCTCGGATCAGCGGGTTAACTATCATATGGGATGCGAAACGATGTTCCTATCCCCGTAATCAAGTCTGTTGAGCTTGACGAAATTTTCTTGTCGTCACTGCAAACACCGGAAACGCAACACAGCCTCCACAACCCAAACTCCTTCCATCCCTCGTACACTACACTTACGCACAGCCCACTGCTAAACCCCCAACATCAGGACTTGCTACCAAATGACCGTCCACGCTTCGTCTTAAGATGTGGGGCCAATGATTGATTGTTAATCCAGCCATAAGGTGCTGACTAACTGCCCACTCGCCCGACCACTCTAGCATATCCACCATTCAACTCCCTGTGCAACGGAATAAAACACAGTGTTGTACACACAGGACTGCGCATCCCCCACTTCACAAAACTGCCCACATACCATAACTCCGACAGCCTCTATCACCTGTGAGAGAGGTTGCCATTGATCCTGGCCCGCCCACAGTCTAGCCAAAAGCTGAACCGATACGCAGAACTCACTACCCCACAACCACCGACAACCAAAAAGATTTAAAATTGAAACCGACGCCTGCCTCACCGAACAACCCTAAGACCCACCAGCCGTGCAAGAGCGATGCTATTGAATCCATGCTGGTCTACTACAACCGGACGCATATATACCCCATGGTGTGGGGAGAAGGGAGGCCTTCTTCCTGCACAATTCCACGAGGCTGGCACAGCCGGCCCCGGAGACCTAACCCTAACTCATCTGCTCCCCCACCATGCTATCCACGTGAATTCATGCATCCTTCCATCCGCCCGTCTATCCATCCTTCTCTTTCCTTGTGGATCATCTGACCCTTCCTTGTGGTGGAGTGTGTGAAACCACCCTTCCTTGCATTGCATGGCAGGCCCACCCAGTTTCAGTTGCTGATACATTTCAATAGCAAGTGATGTCATGCAAGTTAGTGAGCATTTCCTTTCAAACACATTCCACAGTATTCAAATGTATTGAATTCTTTTTGGAATACTTTTCGAATGTTTTGGATTTCTTTAGCAAACATCGGCAAGGAGATTCACAAGAGATGGATGGCCTAATGTGCGTTTTGGTTTTGACAATAGAAATGCAGCCATAAATAAACAAGACAAAAGTAATGGTGTGACAATCCTGTGTTGACTCTTCTTTAGTTTGTGGCTTATGAACAGGTTTAGCACAACCGTTTGTGACACCTTGGGTTCCAAATGGGGATGCGATTTTCTGTTTATTTTGTTGGTAACATATTGAAACTGGCGGATTGATTTTTGTAGTAGAATGTTGTTGGTTTTTTTGTAAAGTAAAATGCCGGCGGGAGTCGTCGAAACGAGAATTGAAGGTGGTTTAAAAGTGATAATGAGCCACAGTTGAAAAGTGATGTACTGCGGAACGATGAAAAGGGTAAGCAAAACGCATCTTCAACGCTAGATTCGTAGGTACGTGTGGCTGCTGGGATTCGAGCCCAGGTCTCCACGGCCACAACGTGGAATTCTCACCACTAAACTACAGCCACTGATCCCCGGGTTATGATTCCGCAGTGATAGGTATCTGTACATAGCTGAGTTCAAATTCCATCAAAGGCCTATTGGTTTGTTTTTGCAACACTCATCAGACACAATGAGTTGAATTCTTTGCGTTGGTTATTATTTTTCATCTTTTTTTATTTCTAAATGATATACATATTTCATGTTGTAACAACTAGCTATGAACACAGTTACAATTGCATGGATCATGAAAACAAAATTTGGTGCTACTTTTGTGTGGTGTTTATGTTGCATTTTTTCATGATTTGTGTTTTGTAACAAAAAATCTAAAATAAGAGGCTTTGTATCATGAAAGTCCAGTGAATAGAGTCTCCAAGGGTCTGTAAATAATAATAATAATAACTAATGAACACCAAGTTCTGGTTGTGTAGAGACTCCCAGACTTGTTTACAAAGTGTTTGTGTAAATCAAAATTGTTACAATAGCTTAATATCCTAATCATGAATGTTAATGTTCAGCCCATGTTTTTAGAGGAGAACATGACACATGTATTTTGAAATACTCACAGCTTTATTTGTTTATTGAGCTTTTGAATTTGATGATAGTATGGTGTCTTGTAGTTGACCTTAAACCTCATTTTGCCATACACAAGTTTGAAGCTCTAATAACACATGAAGTAAAGTCTTCTTGGCATGGAGACACAATGTTGAATTCACCAACTTTCAATGTAGAAAGGAGATGATTTTTTTACTGAATCTAACATGTACCTGATAATGTTGGATAAGCTATTAAATACACAGAATCCATCTGGGTAAGATTATGTGGTCTTATCTGACTTCACTTTAAGTGAGTAATTTGAGAAACAGGATGCTTAGTAAATAGGCCTAAAGATGGAGATTTGTGTGGGTGGGTGTGTGTGTGTGTACGAAGGAGACATTTACATGCGCTCATTCTTTGTAGAAATTTTGTATTATAGTTTGATACTTGAAAATTTTGAATATCACTTATTGATACATAGAAATTGTATAAAATACAAGATGGAGATACAAAATGAGGCATAAATGGAATTTCAGGATTAAATCAAAGATCATAAAATAATGTATATAATCATGTTGGCCAGATTTGTTAGAATAAGAAGTTGAGTGCAGTTATATTTGATATAATTAAACATAGGTTATAGTATTGGTGATGTAATAAAAATGCCATGTCTTCAATTACACAAATGGCCATCTTATTTGTTGGGTAGAATGTAATCCAACACATTTTGATTTTAATTACTTTACTTTAGTTCTTGTTTTAAATACTGATTGATTTGCATTTTTATTTTAAATATTTGAGTTTTCTGTGAAAAACAACAAATGGATTTGAAATGGTAATGAAAGTACATGCAATTAAAAGTGTTGTGAGTAGAACTAATTGTCAAATAGTAGAGGTATGTAAATGCTTAAAAAGTTACATAATAAACTTGCTAACATATGTGTATGATATTATTTGAAACATAAACATGCATTATATACATAGAATTAAATGTATAGTATTTCTTTGTCCTTGGAATTAAAACTCATTTGTTGATTACTTATTTTCTACATTTTTGTTGGAGAATATTAGATTCACCTACTTTATTTTCATGATTCAATCTCCTTGACTAGTTCTTTAATTTAGGGATAAGATTTTATTTATTTATTTGTTTATTTTGAAATCAATGAATAAAGACAAAACTCAACTTAAGATTCTTCTTGGAGGGTAGGAGGTGGCGGAGAAGGGTTTGGGTTCTCTCTTGCATTGCCTGGTAGTGGATCTATTTTTGAAGTTAATATGATTATTTACTTCTAGCATACACAGAGTGTAGGGGCACATTTTCATTTAAATAACTGAAAATACAATAGAATTAGAAAATAATACTTCTATTTTACAGAATGCAAATAATGAGTTATATTTCTTATAATAGTAATGTAACAATTCAGAAGTAGAGATTACTACATGGTCTTTGGCATTACAATACCCTTTTTGTTTTGTGTGTAATGATGTCAGGTGTGTGAGTAGTTTAAGGCTGCCAAGTAGGAATGTGTGGGCAGATTAACGTAGATAATATTCACAGTTATTGCTTACATTTGAGACTCATATTTTTACGATATACAAAGGTATTAGCAGTCAAGGTTTATGGTTTTTTATGTGATATTTCAAGAAAAAAGTATAATTAATGATTTTAAAAGTTTTTTGTTTTGTTTTGTTTTGTTTTGTTTTTTTTTCTGAATTAAAGAAGTAGTTCAATGTTTATCCTTTTGTATACAATAATCATTTTGGTTTTTTAAACAAATCTACAAATCCATGTAAAAACAAGCATGTGTTTTTTGATTTTATGTTTATATTTTTTTCATATCAAATGTAGGTTAATTCAAATCTTTATAAATACATTTTTATATTCCAATTATAGTTTATTTTTTTATACTGCCATTAATAACTTGGATTTATTATAACACATCTATAAGAATTAGAGACAATTTTTTTAAACAAGAAGTGTATAATATTGAAAAAGTTTATACAAAGAATATAGAAATATGCAGATGGATGTTATGTGAAAAAATACATTTATATTTACAAATATTTGTATCTTAAAAAAAAAATCTTTTTTTTCAAAAATTATTGTATTTGAATCTTTCACAACAAATAAAATAAAAATTACATATTGATTAAGACTTGTTGGATTTTGATATCTTATAATTATGTTTATATTTATTATTTCACTAAAAATCATTGACTACCTTTATTAATAGAATATGACATGTGTATTAAGAAATAATTATATATATATATATATATATTGGTAATAATATAATATTGTAGACATACTTTATTACTTTGATAAGAAATCTTAGATAGAAAATAAACATAGGTAGATTTGGTAATATCTTATACATAAGCTTTTGAAAAGATTTATAGATGTAGATTTGATTTCATACTTGTATATAATTTATTAATAGATAAAAAATATAACTAATAAGTTATCTATACATTGCACATGTTAGCAACTTATACTATAAATTAGCTATGTGGTGTATATACAAGAAACTTGTCTTGAAAGTTAGATATGTGTCTTATAAGTTATGAACATGTTGGAAGTTCTATAGAATGTTGGTACATAATTCTTAATTGGATAGTATAAGTGGAGGTAAAAGTAACATCTTTTTTACTCTTATGAATGCTTTTTCTATTCTTAGTCTTACTTTATGAATCACTATTCTTCTTAACTTTGGCTATAGCTATTTTAATTTTAATAATATTTTATTTTTTGAATAAATATCTACTCTTTCAAGTGACATAAGAGTAAAGTGAGTTTTTTATTATTTATAACTCATCTTTTGCATTAGAAGTAAATAGATTTTTATATCTCTTTGTTATGTTTTGAAGTAATTGAAGAAAATATAATAGTTGATACATTCAACAAAAGTAAGAATAGGTTTAAAACTATTATAAATCTTCACAATCTTATGAACACTTTTGGTATGAAAATATCATGTATTTCAAATGTCAACATAGTGTCATGGTCATACATATTTATTCTAATATTTACTTATATGATTAAATATAATTAGATAAAAATAGATTTATTTCATAATATTTTT